GTGGGGGAGGGAGGGAGCGGGGGAGATGGAGATGGAGATGGTGGGGCGAGAGCGAGGGAAAGACACAGAGGGGAGGAAACAGTGAGAGAGAGAGTGTCACCTTCTTCACATGACCCTATGCCCAGCAGCGCCAGGCGCTCTAACACACTCACTTCCCTTTTTTTTTGCAGGATTGCCCTCTCAGAGGACAGCAAGCAGCGTGGGAGGTTCTGTGCTGGTCTTTGCAGACACAATGAGTGACGGAGATAACAACCCAGCAGCCATTCCCGTCGCCGTCGTGGACATTCAGGGCGACGAGCGATGGATGTCTCAGGTGAACGGGACAGCTGGGTTCCTTCTTCAGCCTCGCTCTGTAGGGGCACTGTTACACTTTCCTGTGATGTGCCCCGTGGGGGGAAGTGAGGGCAGTGAGGGGTTAATGTGGCGGATGTAGCCTACATGGACTTCAGTATGGTCTCTGATAAGGTCATGCATGGCAGACGGGCCAAGAAGCTCAGGGCAAATTGGACCCTAAATTGGTGTAGCGACAGGAAGCGGAGGTGTACCACTGGGTTTCGTGCAGGATCACTTGTTGTTTTACAGTGTACATGAATGTAGGAGCTTTGATTTGTAAGTTTGCAGCTGGCACAAGAATTGGTGGTGTGGTGTATCAAGAGGAGCATACCCTTCGCTCATAGGACGATACAGTTGGGGGTGGGGTGGGGGGGTTGTACGGGCTGCTCACTGGTACAGAGTCACAGAGACGTACAGCACGGAAACAGACCCTTTGGTCCAACCCATCTGTGCTAAGCAGATATCCTAAATTAATCTTGTCCCATTTGCCAGCATTTAGCCCATATCTCTCTAAACCTTTTCCATTCTTGTACCCAACCAGGTGTCTTTTAAATGTTTTTACTGTACCATCCCAGAATTTAATCCTGAAAAGTGAGAGGCGATGCATTTTGGGAGGCCTGGCAATGCAAGGGGCAACATGAAAGACCCCCAGGGAATTGTGCATGTGCCTGTGAATCCTTGAAGGTAACGGACAGGTAGATGAAGGTGGAGGAGGCGCAGGGCATGGATTTTCCATCTAACCTGTCCAGAAATTTTACAGCTGGTGGGACCCGAATCCCAGCTTCCTAGCTCAGAGGTAGGAGCGCTGCACCGCACTAAGAGAGCCCCAGGCAATTGAGATCCTTGCCTTTATTAGTCAATGCCTTGACTAATAGAGCAGGGAGGTTCTGTTGGAGCTGCGTAAGATGTTAGTCAGGCCACAGCAATCTGCTGGGAAGACGGACACACCAACACCAGCATCCTCGACCAGCCCAAGTGGCTCAGAGGACAATTTGAGGAACAATTATTTTTTGCCCCCAGAGGGTCATGGGTATCTGGATCTCACTGCCCAAAGGTGTGGTAGAGACAGAAACCTGTCAAAACATTGAAGTATTTCGATGAAACGCCGTGGCATACAAGGCTATGGGGCCAAGTGCTGGAAAATGAGAATCTAACGATGATTGTGAATCATTGTTGGGAAAAACCCATCTGGTTCACTACTGTCCTTCAGGGGAGGAAATCTGCCCTCCTTACCTGGTCTGGTCTGGTCTACATGTGACTCCAGACCCACAGCAATGTGGTTGACTCTTAACTGCCCTCTGGGCAATTAGGGACGGGCAATGAATGCTGCCTAGCCAGTGACGCCCCTCATCTCATTAATGAATAAAAGAAAACAAAGCAATTCGGAAGACTAATGGAATGTTAGCCTTTATTGCTGTAGGATTTGAGAACAGGAGCAGTGAAGTCTGAGTGAGGTTTTGGTCTCCTTAACTCAGAACGTAGTAGTCTGCAGGATGGCGAGACTGTCGGAGGAAGAACTGAATAGATTCTCTCGAGAAGAATGAGACCTCATTGAAACTTAGAAAATACTTCAAGGGACAGGCAGGGTAGATGCAGGTAAGATAAATCCACCTGGTTGGAAAGCCTAGAATCAGGGAGCACAATTTAAAATTGAAAGGCAGTCCAGTTAGGAGGAGAAATTATTTTTACAAAGAGGCTTGTGAACATGTGGAATCTTCTACCTCAGAGAGCTATGGATGCTCGGACTTTGAGTATGTTTAAGTGAGCAGTTGATAGATTTCTGAGTACCAGTGGGGTACAGGGTGATGGGGGTGCGGTGAATCAAAGAAATTGAAGTTTCCAAGCAGTTGTTATTGGTATTGAATGGCTGAACAGCCTGCTCCTGTTCCTCTGTTACAATGACACTGTCTGTGTGGAAATGTTTATTCATCTCTCCATTAGGAAGAATCACTCTGATTTAATGGCCCTGCCACGTTTCCTGCAGACGATCCCTCTTGCTACACCAACGTTGCTCCTCAACCCTCCCAAATCCAGGGGATGCTTTTCTTGTTTGTGTGATCATGGATTGAGGAGTGGCAGATGGAGTCTAATTTGGATAAATGCGAGGTATTGCATTTTGGTAAAACAAACAAAGGCAGGACTTACACAATTAAAAGTAGGGCCCTGGGTAGTGTGGTAGAACAGGGAGAGACCTAGGGGTTCAGGTACATAATTCTTTGAAGCTAATTAAGAAGGTGTTTCTAACGCTTGCTTCATTGCACAGTCCTTTGAGTATAGGAGTTGGGACGTTATTTTGAGGTTGTACAGGACATTGGTGAGGCCTCTTCTGGAGTACTGTGTCCAGTTCTGGTCATACTGTTATAGGAAGGATATTAAGCTGGAAAGAGTCCAGAAAAGATTTACCAAAATGTTGCCGAGAATGGAGAGCTTGAGTTATAAACAGGCTGGATAGGCTCAAACTTTTTTAACTGGAGCGCAGGAGGTTGAGGGGTGATATTACGATTTTATAAACTTCTATGAGAAGTATAGATATGGCAGGTATCTTTTCCCTAGGGTGGGGGAGTTGAAAACTAGGGGGCATATTTGTAAGGTGAGAGGAGAAAGATTTATAAAGGACACGAGGGGCAACTTTTTTGCACAGAGTAGTTCGTGTGTGGAATGAGCTGCCAGAGGAGGTGGATATTGGTTCAGTAACAACGTTTAAAAGACATTTGGATAAGTACTCAAACAGGAAAGGAGGGGCATGGCCAGGTGGGACTAGTTTGGTTTGGGATTATGTTCGGCATGGACTGGTTGGAGAGCAGGGTCTGTTTCCGTGCTGTATCACTCTATAATCACCCCTCATAATTTAACCTTTCGAGTCCACCGCAAAACGTCTGCTTTCCTGGACATCGCTTTTTTCTTGTATCTTGTAGCACAACCACTTTGTGGCAGACACAAAGGATAAGGAGCCCGACGTCCTGTTCGTGGGAGACTCTTTGGTTCAGTTACTCCACCAGTTTGAGGTGAGATCCTGCCCTCTTACATCCCAGGCCAAGAATAAATACTGGTCAGCAATGCCTGTTTCTCAGGAAAGAGTCAATTGGAAAAAGCACTGGGAAAGCGGGGATTGAGGGATAAGTGGGAAAAAAGCTGGGAATCAGGAGAAGGGAATACAAGAAATGTCCAACATAATCATCGTTTCCTGAGAGATGCAAGGAGTATTTTTTTCGAAGCAGATCAGATTGCTGTCCAGCTCAGAGGAGGATAAAACAGCAATTCCATTTGCTTTGAAATTTGGACCTGAACTGAAATGCACTGT